TGAAGATGGATGTTCATAGTGGCCATGGCAGCTGAGGATGGGAGGGACCACTGGGTTCACCCACAAGGGGGCATCTGGTCACTGGGATGTGTACAGGGTGAGGCAGGGACCTGGCCCTGCTCTGAGCTGGAAGACGCCCTGCTCCCTCAAGCCCAGGAGGGGGCTCCTTCCTACCTGTGCTGTTTCCTTGGAAGACAGTTACAGTCAAGTTCCGTGGAGAGTCTGGGACTGAAAGACATGGTGGACCAGCATCAGCAGTGAGGGCTGAGTGGCTATTGGCCCTTGTCCCCAGAACTGCATAAATGAGAGAAAGCTATAGGTGGGTGTCCTCCTGACCCCTGCTCAGCCTGGTTTCTTGGACCCAATACCAGTGTCAGAAGCCCGGACTCCCATCCCTACTGCCGTCAGGACCTCATCAGGGACCCAGGTGTCCTGGCCCAGCACTCAAAGGACACGTTGAGGTGGATTGTCTTCGAGGTGGTCCTTCCAACCCCAGGCAACATCACATGACAGGTGAGGCTGGTGCCGAGGTCCTGGGGCTGTGGGATGAGGGTGAGCACTGAGGAGTGGGCTACCATGGGGACCTGGGGGGATGGAGACCCCCATCTAGGAGAAGATGGAGGGAGTGCCCTGTTCACAGGCCCAGGGCACAGAGCAGGTCAGGTTCCTGGGGCAGCCAGACTCCAGGGTCTCCAGGATGAGAATGTCAGGCATGTGAGTCAAAGCTGGTGAAGAAAGAGAGAGACACAGGGATCAGCAGGGAGGATTCAAGGTGCAGCCCTGAGAGAAGCCTCAGACTTTGATCCAGCTCCTCTTTCTGAGCCCTGACACATTGTATCCCCATGCTCCTCTCAGGCTGGGGAGACCCATCCCAGCCCGGCCCTGTGATCACCATGTCTTTCCCCTGTTCCCTCTCCTAGATCCCATTCCTTACCCATCATGTGCATGGAGAATTGGTTAGATATGTAACATTCCTTTGTGCTTCCTCTCTCAATCTGAAAAAAGTATGAACCATTGTCCCTCCTCCTGGCATCTCTGATGTCCAGGGAGCAGTTGTAGGTCCAGGGATCCCCAAGGACGTGGAATCAGCCTGGGCGTCACCCTATGTTTCATGATCTAGGTTGTTTGTGGCCACTGGAACATCGTGGTCTGTGTTGGCTGCTTCCCAAAACCGGTAGCCATGAGCCCAGGAAAAGATAACCCAGACATTCCAGAGGTAGGAGAAGGAGCAGGGCACAAACACGCACAGACCCTCCTGCACCATCACCGAGCCCTGCACTTGCAACTGACAATCCTCCTTGGGCTTCCTCTAGCCCTCGGCCCCTTCCCTTCACCAGAGCAGGGCCAGCAGCAGCAGCATGTCTGGGGTTGTCAGTGTCTTGTTCACCTAGAAAGTGTGTTTCTCAAGGTTCTCTCTCAGGAACTAAAAGTTGCAAGATTTAGAGGAGGCTCCAAGAGGAAGCTGAGTGTGAGGGCAGAACAGTGACCCTCCTCAGAGGAGGAACTTCACACCCAGATGCTGTCCGGGGCAGGGCAGCCCTTGAAATCAACAATCCACCAGCACATCCGCTCCTGGGGATCCTGGGCCAGAGAGGGTTTGAGCCTCACCCAAATTCACACCCCACACAGGGACCCAGCACATCTCCTGCCTCACTGTTGATGCCCTTCTGCTCAGGGGTCATTTTCTGTCAAGTGAAAATAGGTACCTTGTGGTTAGACTCCCCAAGTCACAGGCTGTAGATGTCTGTGGAGGTCAGTCCAGTGCTGGGATGTAGGGACACGGGAGATGGGGGAGGGCTTGGGTAGGAGTTGAGGAGGCCAGCTGTCCTTCCTCCCTCAGTGTCCACGGGGTAGACAGTCCCTCTCTGCTCACGAGGTCACACACTAGCCTTGATGCTGCCCCGAGAGTCACTGCCCAGTGGGAAGACAGTAAGTGTCTCGGCACCTGGAGCTTCCTGTGACAGGAGCTGCAATTCTGTGAATATGTGTGTTTTGTGTATTTTGAGACTCAATTTGCAGAGGCATACATATTTAGAATTTTATATTTTCTGGGTGGTGAACTAAACCTTTGATTTTATGAAGTGCCCACACCTAATGCTCTTTGCCTCCAGGACTCTCTCATCTGATCTTAGGACAGTGACACCAACTCTCCTTTGTTTAGTGCTTCCATGGTATATCTAATGACATCTTGTCATTTCATCCTTTCTCAATCTTTAAGTTTCAGTTATGATTCTTGTTAATATGGGAAGGCCATCTTTCATTCATTTATCCTTTCTTTCATTTCTCCAAACACATAGGGATAAGTCCTACTCTGTTAAGAGAAGACAAAGAAAGATAAATTTGACAGATCAGGACACTCCCCTTGCCGTCAAGTGGGGAGCTGGACGAGGCACCAAGAACTAGAAATCTAGATGGAATTGGCAGACGGACTCTCAAGGTGGAAGGTCATGAGGAGTAAGTGGGACAACACACTTAATTCATCAGAGGGCCCGGAACACTGAGAGCTCCCCAGAGGACAACTGGGATTCTCTGTAGGATGGGGTTGTAGGGCAAATGAAAGGAGAGAGAACAAGTGCCCACTTTGACACAGCGGCCCCGCAGGCCTCCATAACTGAATTTTGAACAGTTGTCCCCTTGCCCGGCCACACTGCCCCGCACTGTTCTGGAACACGACAAGCTCTGCCCTACCTCTGGGGCTTTGCCTGTGCAGACCCCTCTGCTGGGTGTTTTGGTGCTCAGGACACAAGGAATGAGGCCTGCCAGGTTGGGAATCATCTTCCACTGGGAACATCAGGATTTGTTGGGAGAAGAGACTTGCTCTTGGATGTGGAGGACATGCTTCTCCTGTGTAGCTGGTGGGCTGTGCAGGAGGTGGTGGGAACCCTGGGACAGAGGGACAGGAACTAGAGGGGTCTCCTTTAATGGATTTATTGTCAGTTCTGAAACTTCTTAGGACATTCTAGTTATTTGCTTTTCTATGTATAGTTTAGATTCAGCTTGTCAATTTCTACAACGCTCTCACTGACACTTTCAGATTGCATTGAATTTACCCACCAATTTAGGAAAACTGACAACCAAACAATATTGAGTCTTCCAATCCATGAACACGGCATATATCTCCATGTATTTAGTTATTCTTCCAATTCTTTAAAGAATACTTTGTATTCTTTCAATGTTCAGGATTTGCACCTATTTCATACAATTTATTTCAGAGTTTCATGTTACTGTAAATTGCATCTTTAAAAAAATATTCAATTTCTAATTGTTCTTGGCCAATACATAGCATTGAAAAGGAATCTTTTCATTTGGACTTATATCTTAACAACTTGATAAACTCTTTTATTGCTTTTAGCAGCTTCTTTGTGATTTTATATTTTCTATGCCCACTACCATGCTGTCTGTGAATAAAGACTCTTTTAGTTCTCATTTTATGATCTGGAGAGCTCTTATTTCTTTCTTGCGTTCATTGCACTGGGAATGATCTACTATATACTGTTTGATGGAGGTGGTAAGAACAGCCATTGTTGCCTCAGTTCCAATCCTAAGGAAGAGGTTCTGTGGCCTCTGAGACTGGCCCCTCCAAGCCTTAGGAGAAATTATTAGCAGAAACTTTCTGTTAAAACAGCCAACAAAAGTCGTGACACAAGCCTGCATCCAAAATTCACAAAAAGCTTCACATCAGGACCTTTGTTAGGTGTTTTTTTACATACATTTTCATGGCTCGTTCACAATAAGCTGATTAGATGGATGATTCCCTGATTTGCAGAACAGTAAAGTGAGCCAGAGAGAGATAAATGGACTCACTCACTAAGTGGCATAGATGGATTTGAACTCAGTTCTTTTGGACACAAGTCCTGTGGTCTTCCACATATACTAGGGGATACATTCCATTGTCAGGAAGGCCATTGATTTTAAAATAATCAGAGGTTGAGTGTTATGTGCTGAAAAATCATAAAATGAATAAGTTGGTGTCCTAACACCCAGTCCCTCAGGATGTGACTGTGTTAGAAGATAGGGTCTTTAAAGAAGTAATTCAGTGAAAATGAGGTCATTAGGGTGGGCCCGAATCCCATACACTTGGTATCTTTTTAAGAAGAGGAAACCACATCTGACCGGGCAAGAGAAACAATAGAAAAAATAAACAAATGGGACTACATCAAACTAAAAAGCTTCTGCACAGCAAAGGAAACCATCAACAAAACGAAAAGACAACCTAACAATTGGGAGAAGATATTTGCAAACCATACTTCTGATAAGGGCTTAATCTCCAAAATATATAAAGAACTCATGCATCTCAACAACAAAAAAACTACCAACCCAATTAAAAAATGGGCAAAAGACCTGAACAGACATTTCTCCGAAGAAGATATACAGATGGCCAACAGACACATGAAAAGATGTTCAAAATCACTAACTATCAGGGAAATGCAAATCAAAACTACAATGAGATATCACCTCACGCCACTACTCAGCCATAAGAAATGACGAAATCCAGCCATTTGTGACAACATGGATGGACATTGAGGGTATAATGCAAAGTGAAATAAGTCAGAGGGAGAATGTCAAATACCGTATGATTTCCTTCATTAAGTAGTAGATAATAACAACAATAAACAAACATAGGGACAGAGATTGGATTGGTGGTTACCAGAGGGGAAGGGGGGAGGGAGGAGGGTGAAAGGGATGATTAGGCACATGTGTGTGGTGATGGGTTGTAATTAGTATTTTGGTGGTGAACATGATGTAGTCCATGCAGAAATAGAAGTACAATGATGTACACCTGAAATTTTTACAATGTTATAAACCAATGTTACTGCAATAAACAAAAAATTAAAAAAAAAAAAGAAGAGGAAACATTTATAAGAAGAGGGAAGACCCTGTGAGGACACAAGGAGGAGACAGCTGTCTGTAAGCCCAGGAGAGAGGCCTCGGAAGGAAGCAACCATGCTGACTTGTTGATCACAGACTTTTAGCCTCCAGAACTGTGAGAAAATAATTCCTCACTTGTGCGTCCTGATCTCTGCGTATTCGATGTTGGTGCCTTTTTCTTTGGGAGCCTCGTGAAATCTGAGGGAAGCATAGTGGATCTCCGGTTCCTCTCCTGAGATGGGGCTCACCCCAGCAGGGGCTGGGTGATCTGAAGGGGAGTCTGTCCAGAACCGGTGCTGATGAGCCTGAGTGGAAGGAAGAGAAGGATTCAGAGCTGGGCAATAGGGTCTGGGAGAAAGCAGCCAAGGACTAGAATGGGATTGGGACTGATGGAGCTTTTATCATTTACCTCTTCATTTTTTCAAAAATAGTTAATAATTAAGATTGTCCAACCCTTAGTGAGTATATATATTAATCACGTTATATTCTGGGAGAGGATGCTATTATCATTTTGATCTTACAAACAGCAAAACTAAGGCTGAGAAGGATTACATGCATTGCCCTGAAGACACACGTCTCTATACATGCACCACTGAGCCTGGACTCAAATCCAGCTCTTTCTCACTATGGCGCCATCCTCTGTTGGGGCCGTGTGCCAGGTGCTTTGCATGGAGTGATGAAGAAAGCATACCCAGCCCCTGACACCATGCAGCTGATGGTTTTCTAGGACAGGTAGTTCCTAAACAAATAGAAAACAAGTACATTTCAAGATCTCAATTTGGAATAGGAGATATTTCGAAATATAAGGCAGGGGCAGGGGCCACACACCCAGTTTCCAGACAGGTCCTAGAAGACAGAGCAGAGAGCAGGTCCTGCAGGAAAGATGGCCCCAAACATCTCACCCACATCTGCTTCCTGCCCACAACACCCTGAAGCTACAGATGCAGGAAACAGAAACCATTAACAGCAGCTCAGAGAGGCAAAGACAAACAGCCCTCAGGTCAGGAGGAAAGGGCTTCACTATTGCAGAGCGAATAGCAGAGAGGGAGAAGGCTGCCCAGACTGGGCAAAGGCAAGATGAAAATTAGTGATGGATCAGCTGTGCTAATCTACTGCAGCCACAACACGGGAAAGAAAGAAACGTGTCTGTGAATAATCATAACTATGGTACTTGCATATCGGCAAACCTCGCCCATCAAAAGACACCGACAGAGATTTTAATAGAAAAGTTTTCCAGCAGTATGATTATTCAATGATTTATTCCAGAAATATTTATTGAGTACCTACCGTGAGTTATGAGTCAGGCATCCTATAGGCCCTGGGAATGCAACAGGGAATAAAACAACAACAACAATAAACCACCCTTGGGACTCACTCGCTGGAGGAGGGAAGGATTCTGATCCATAGTAATGAGTCCTGTGCTCAGTATGTGCCAGGTGATGTTTCAAGTACCCCTCACAAGTACTCTGTGACACAAGGTCTCCTTATATTACCATGTCACGGATAAAGAGAGGTCAGAGAGGAAACGATGTTTGTCCAGGGTCACACAGCTCATCAATAGGGAAAGAGGATTTGAATATGAGCCCCAGTGGCTCTGGGGCACCTGCTTTCAACACCTACTCTCTACTGACTTCAAGAGACATTCATCAAAAAAAAAGTTTACTGAAAATTTGAAAGTAAAGCAATGGAAAAGATATGTCCTGATTCCTGACATCCGTGATTTGTGTCCTCATGATTCCTGATGGGGACTTAGCACACAGTGAAGGTTCCATTCCCCAAGATCGACCAGAGGAAACAATATAGGGGATTAAGAAAATTGAAGTGAAAAAATGACTTTCTGTCTCCTTGTTCTACCAGTTACTGAGAGAGGAGTTTTGAAATAATCAGCTGTGATTGTGGGTGTGTCTACTTCTTCCTGCATCTCTGTCAGTTTTTGTTCATTTGTTATGATGAATGATGCTCTGTTATTGGGGGCATATGTGTTTAGGATTTTTATATCTTTTAACGATGTGATAGAAGCCAGATACATAGAGTAAATATTGCAGGTTCCATTTATATGAAGTCCCACAACAGGCAAAACTAATCTATCGTGATAGAAATCAGTAATCGCTGGAAAGGTGGGTTGACTGGGAAGGGGAACAAGGGAATTTGGGGGAGTGATGGAAATGTTCCATGTCTGAATTGGGGACACGGTTACAGGGTGTATCCATTTGTCAAAATTCATTTAACCATATGATTAAAATGGGTGCATATTATTTTATGTAAAGAATACTTCAATAGTTTCAGTGTTAATATTACATAAACATGGTGGTAGAATTGAAAAATACAAAATAAGGTGGCAAATTGTGACTTTGGGGTGCCTGGGCTCTCTACCCTAGAGCCCATGTCCACCACTCTCCTTGTACCCAGTGGGTCTGACACAGACTAGGTTTGGGCTATTACTCTTCCCTGATGATCAACACCAGACGAAAAGGTTAATACTCCAGGGAAACATGATCATCTGACAGATGAGGCATAAACACCCCCAACAAACCCACTGGACTACGTAATTACCCCACCAGAAGGAGACACATCAGAGCAGTTGAACCAATAATTTTAAATACCACATGTGGAAATCTGGGGAGTGTTAGATGTAAACAGGGAATTTCCTAAGGGCCCTTCCTGAGGCAGCATCCACCAGGAATAATGTTGAGTGGAGCCCATGTCCCGTCACTCACCCCAGAGCCTGAGGCCTCAATTTGGTTCACATTCTCCATGCTCTGCACTGGCTGGGCTGCCTTCTTCCTGCAGGTCTTCACTCTAAGGGAACAACCCAGGGCATTTCAGCCTGGTTATTTGGGGTACGGAGTAAGCAGACCACCCCCTACTCCCTGTGAAGGGCATGGAAGTGCTGAATGAGGTAGAGGGAGGTGAAGCCCTTCTCCAGGTGCTAACCTAAGAGCTGGACCAGGGCTAGCAAGAGACCCCGTGCTTGGCTCTCTTGGTTACAAGCTGATTCACACCACCACTCAACCTCTCTTTCCAGACTCCTGGCTTTCCAGCCAGTCCAGTTCCTCCAGCTCAGAACTTCTGAGATTCTGAGACCTTAAGCCCTTCCAACCTCTAGTCTCTCCCCCTGTCCCTGGAGCCCACTCTTACCTGAAGAGGAGACAGAGGATGAGAGAAACCAGGGCCATGATGCCAGCTCCCCCAACTGCTCCCAGGACGCCACTGGCCCTGGGTTCTGGTTTACCTGTAGATAATTTGACTTTAGGGTAAACTCCAACTCCCAAAAATGGCATCCTCCCAACTGGCCACTTCTCTCTCTGTGTGTTCCCTTAGTGTACCTACTCCCCACAGAGGACTCAGTCACTCTGCATTCCATTGCTCTGTAGACCTTGGACCAACCCCTTCTCCTGGCCACGACTGAGGATCTTACACCCCCAGCCACTCTGCTCCGGGCCTTGGGGTGTCTCTCCTCCAAGCTCCATCTCTCTGGGGCTGTTATAGGTTAAATCGTTTCCCCTGCAAAATTCATATGTTGAAATCCATACACACCCTGCCATATTCCCTGCCCCGTACTTCAGAATGCGACCTTATTTGGAGACAGGGTCTTTAAAGCAGTAATGGTTAAAATGAAGACATTAGGTTGGGCCCTGGTCCAATATAACTGATGTCCTCATTAAAAAGGGAAAATTCACACGAAGAGAGGGAGAACGCCATGTGAAGATGAAGGCAGAGATTGGGGAGATGTTTCTACAAGCCAAGGCATGCCAAAGATTACCAGAAAACCATCAGAAGCTGGGGAGAGCCTTGGAAAAGATTCTCATAGGCTCAGAGGGAACTAACCCTGCTGACATCTTGATCTCAGGCTTCTGGCCTCCAGAAATGTGAGACAATAAATCTCCATTTTTTATCCCGCCATTTGTGGTACTTTGTTACGGCAGCCCTAGGAAACTAAAAGAAGCGTTCAAGCTCCTCTTTCCCCAGGTGTCACCCCTCTGGAGACCCCTGACTTGGCAGCAGCAGGACAGTGGCACTCTGGGTCCCATGGACATTTGAGGCTTCGCAACTGATTGGGAGGCCAGGGGTGAGCCCCTCGCGGAGGCTCAGGGAGCCGTTGGTCCAGGGCCCGGTGGAGCTGGAGGTGACCGTGAAGGAGGCATTGCTACTGTTCCCCTCCAGCAGACCCTCCCCCAGCCACCAGCGTAGGGAGGGGGCCGGATGGGCCTGGGAGGAGCAGCCACAGTGCAGACCCTCATCCTCCCAGGAGCAGGAGGGTCCCAGTAGCTGTGAGGGGTCTGTGGGGAGGGAGGAGAAGGGCAGCAGGGCCTCTGCCCTGCCCAGGACCCATGTGTCCTGGCCCGGGGGTCCCCATACTCACAGACCACGGAGAGGTTCACAGAGACATTTTGGGAGCCCAGCAGGTGCTGAGCGAGGCAGGTGCAGTCTCCTCCTGTAGTCCCTATGGGAGGCAGTTCCAGGATGGCAATGGTGGATATGGGGGTGGTGTTCAGGGCTGCGGACCGCAGGAAACAGCTCAGCACTGCAGGGGCATTGCTCTTAGCAGCACAGAGCAGCCGCACAGCCTGGCCCTCCAGGATGGGAAGGGTAGAGGCATTTTGCAGGATTTTGAGGGCTTTGGAAAGAGAGATGCAGAGATAGAGACAAAGACAGAGAGAGATGGGGTGGGCGAAGCCGGCATCTCTCTCCATACTAACTCTGAAGAGGGGACCGGGAGAGTCTGGCCTCAGGCCTTCAATGGAGGCCCAGACACTTTCCCTGAGCTGCTCAGAGTGTTGGGCAGTTGGAGGACAGAGGGCTCAGGACAGGGATATAGTGAACAAATGCAGTTAGTGGACAAACGAGGGGCTATGGAAGCAGGAGGTAACACGTCAGAGAGAAGGTGAAACAAGAGGGATGTGACGGCTTCCTTTGGATTTGGCCAGAGAAAGCTGTGGGTGAGAAAAGATTAACTTCAGGGAGTTGGGATTTGTGGGGGCTTCCCCCTGTGCTCTCCCCACATCTGATCTCAGTAGCTGGCTTCTCACTTATCTCTCACTTAGTCCCCAGACACAAGGAGCTCTAGATCCAGCTAGACCTGCATCCAGCCCAGCTCTGGAGAGAAGAGGTTCTTTCCTATCTGTGCTGTTTCCTTGGAAGATGCTGAGGACCATGTCCTGTGGAGCATCTGTGACAGAATGGTGTAGAAACCTCAGCATCCATGGTGACTGATGGGTGGGCACTGGGCCTTTTTCCCAGGGAGCCATGGAAACAGGTAAAGGGTGACCCCTTCCTGTTGGACTGGCAGGACCCCTATGTTAAACCCTGGCCCAGCTCTGCCCTGTCCCCATCCCTTCAGGGACTGAGGCATCCTGGCCCAGCACTCACAGGTGATGTTGAGCTGGATGGTCCTTTCCATGGTCATATCAGCTCCAGGGAACTTCACCTGACAGGTGAGGCTGGTACGTGGTCCTGTGACCGTGGGGTCAGGGTGAGCACTGAAGAGAGGAGGGTCCTGGGGCCCAAGGATGTGAGAACAGCTGATGTCCAGGAGAAGAGGGGTGGTGTGCCCTGCTCACAGGCCCAGGACGCAGAGCAGGTGAGGTTCTTGGGGCGGCCAGATTCCAGGGGCCCCGAGATAAGTATGTCGGGTCTGTGAGTCAGGACTGATGAATGGAGAGATGAAGCTGAGGCCCCCAGGCATGCTTTCAGCCTGCCCCAGGGTCTTGTCAAGGCTCTCCCCACCCACCCCATCCCCAGAAGGAAGAGAACATTCATTTTTCTATTTCCAGTGCCCCCCACCCTGGGGCCTTTCCCTGGGCCTGCCATACCTGTCACATGCAGAGAAAGCATCTTATCCCGATACGAGTGTTTCCTGAAGTATTTCCCCATGTGAAAGAAGTAAGTCCCACTGGCCACCACATTGACGTCTCGGATGCTTCGGGAGCAGTTGTAGGCCTGGGGGTCTCCGAGGAGGAAGAACCGGCCCTGGGTGCTCTCCTACAGCTGCTGTTCTATTTTGTTTGTGGCCACTGGATTATCAGGGTTTCTATCCGCCCCTTTCCGGAACCAGAACACATGGAGGATTCCAAAGGCAGTCCAGGGATAGGAAAATTTGCCGGGCACGAGCACACACAGGCCCTCCTGCACTGTCACGGACGCCGGTAGTTCCAGCTGGTACCTGTGATCCTGAGCCGTGGGCACTGGGGAGAGGGAGAAACTCAGCCTGCAGCTCTGGTGCCTCCCCAGAGTGGGGTCCCCTCTCCCCTCGACCACTCACCTCCCCACAGCACAGGCAGCAGCAGAAGCAGCAGCTGCAGCGACATTCTGTCCTCCTGCCCTGGGATGGTCCGCCTTCTGGAATCCCTCTGAGAGAGAAGAGAAAACCGCAGCTGTGGGAGGGCAGAGGAAGCTGAGAGAGGAAGCCTGGCAAGAAGAAAGGGCCACAAGCTCAGAAGTGGAAATACAGACCACAGAGTCAGCGTGACTGCCCATTTGAGATCATCCAGACCCATTTCTGCATGTGGCAAATGAACCCTGAAGCTCAGACAGGCAAGGGACTTACCCAAGTAAGGCAGCAAGGAAGGATGAGAGCCCCCAAGTCCTGCCTCCTGGACTTGTGCACGGTTGTTTGTACTGGAGAAGCAGGTCCCAAGTGGCCAGCTCCCAGAGAGTCAAGACTGTAGGGAGGGTGGCTTCCCATGAGGACAGCCAGGGAACGCCTTTCTATTTGCCTGAAAAATGCATATTGTTTTTCAGCTATGGGCTGAACTCCTCTGATGGTTCTATCCACAGACCTACCACCTCATAGGAAGGTCACCTGGGATGTAGGGTTGATGTCATGACCTTGACCCTAGCATATGGGTGAGGACTTAGGAAAGGGAGGACGGCTTGGGGCCCAGGGGTAGAGAAGCCTGCTCTTACATAAGCTGCTGACATAGTACTATTTAGACTCCAAGATAGTTGAACTGGAGGTGAAAGAGTTGTAGATTTGGGGTATCTGGTACAAACTGGAGAGGAGAAAAAGACTCAGACCCCAGAGTGTGATCTTGGGGGCAGCCTCCACATCAGCCACCCCTCTCTCAGCCCCAAGTTCCTGATCACCTCTCCCCACCCTCCAGATAAGGAACAGGTGTGTTCCTGTCTCTGGGGTTCTTTCTTGGGGACTCTTGGCTACTTGTCACCCCCAGAGACAGTGTCATATATTGAGAGTCATATTTCACATAATATTTCTCTATCCTAAAATCTTCCCACTTTCCCACATCTTGGAAAACCTGATGCTCATAAAGCAACTGTGGGCCCCTGGGTCCCCGAGGAGGTTGAGTCAGCCCCAGATTCTCTCTTCCAGGTTTGATAGGGTCTGTGGCCTGAGGGGGATTATGGTGTCCGTTGGCTCCTCCAGGATCTGAAGGCTGGTGTCAAGCGGGCTAAAGACAGTCCAGAAAATCCATGGTTTGGATTGGAGAATGGGATAGGAGGCACAGGCAGGCCCTCCTTCATGGTCACAGACTGAAGGTTACAGACTGTACCTGCACCGTCCCCCAGGGTCCACTGCAGGAAACAGAGTCTCTGACTGCAGCGCCACCTGGAAATCTCTTCCTCAGACCTGTTGCCCTCACAGTTGTGGCTGCAGCGGCAGCAGCATCTCTGGGCTGCAGAGGATCGTCTAGGTTCCTTTGACACCATCTGATCAGCCTCTCCCAGCTGGGAGATAGGAGAGACTGTGGGGTGGTCAGTGAGCTGAGGAGGAGCCCGAGAGCTCAACCCTTCATATAAGAGGAACTGCAGGCTGGAGTTGTTTCCCTCTGCACAGAGCAGGAAGACACCCCATGGCTAAGACATGCTGACCCTCCCAGAGGGGAGCAGACAAGGAGCAGACCCTGTGTTCTGCCCCCATCTCAGGGCTTCTCTCCAGCATGGAGCCTGAACTAGGCCCTCTGAGGACATCTGAGGAGTGGGATTTGGTGAGTCTCTAAGGGCCTCCCATCTAATTTGCTTCTGAGCCCTGTTGTCTACACCAGAGAGTTGGTCAAGTCCTGCTGGACCCTGGAGGATCACAGGCTCATCTAGAGCCTGGGTGCTCGGCAGTGGCAGGTGTAGGATTCTTTAGGGTCTGTGTGAGGGTCTGGGGCAGAGGAAAAGAAGAGATCCTAGGGAAGGTGAGGGCAGCAGCCATCATTCATTCATTTGCTCATTCTCCAAACACTTAGCAAGCATCTCTGTGTTGGGGAGGCTGGGGATAAGAAGGGAGGTGACCCACGTGGTCCACACTCATGAGGTGCTCCCCACCCAGTGGCGTCACTTCCTCCCCAAACACTCAGTACTGTCGGGCTCTAGAGCTACAGTCACTGGTGAGTTTGCTGTGTGTCCTGGTAGCATATTGGATTTTTTCTAAAATAAGAATTTTTTTTTATTTTTAAATTTAGTAAAAAAAAAAACTCTTTCCAAGTTGCACAACTTGAAACTCTATTCCCATTAAACAAAATCTTTCCATTTCCCTCCACCTACCAACCCCTAGCAACCACTATCTCATTTTTTGTCCAATGTCCAGGAATTTAGATTCTTCATTTTATTGGAATCATATAGTATTTGTCTTATTTGTGACTGGTTTATTTCACTTACCATAATGTCCTCAAGCTTCATCCATGTGGTAGCAAGTGTCAAAATTCCTTCATTTTTAAGGCTAAATAATATTCCATGGTAGGTGTACACAACACTTTGTTTATCCATCCATCTGTTGAGGGACACTTGGGTTGCTTCCACCTTCAAGCTATTGTGCATATGCTGCTGTGAACATCAGTATGTAAATATCTCTTTGAGTCCCTGCTCTCAATTCTTTTGGATAAATACCCAGAAGTAGAATTGCCAGGTCATATTTTAATTCTATTTTTAATTTATTGAGGAATCCCCATTCTCTTACCATCTTCTCTATTTTTCACCTCATCTGTTGTCATCACCTTACACTGGCTATTCATTTTAACATCTCCAGTCTGGACCCTTCTTCTGATCTCCAGACATTTATATCCAGATGCAAAGGGGTTCCTGGGCTCAATTTCAATGTGTGAGTGTAGAGGTTTTCCCACACCAACCAGGAGGTCTTGGACACCAGCAGGGTGTCTGAAAGTTCAACTCAATTCTGACGCTATCTACCTGGAGACTGAATCAGATTCCACAGGCAAAGGGCTCCGTCCCGCAAGACTACCCTACAGTTCAGACTCCAGCTGCAAATCCAGGGTGTTACCTGTGCTTCTGATCAACTGGCTACAAATGAGAGGTTCACACGGCCCTTCGTTTCATTTGATTAATTCACTAGAATTGCTCACAGAACTCAGGGAAACACTTACTTATGTTTACCAGTTTATTAAAGTATATGATCAGGGATGCAGATGAATATCCAGAGGGCAGAGATATGTAGGACAAGGTGTGAGGGGAGGGTCACAGAGCCTCCATGCTCTCTCTGGGTATGTCACCCTCCCGGCACCTCTTTGTGTTCACCAACCATGAAGCTCTCTGAAAAAGACTCTGAGCTGTCCTTTTGGGTTTCTATGGAGGCTTCATTACATAGTCATGATTGACTGAGTCATTGGCCATTGGTGACTGATTTGACCCCAAGCCCCCTCCCCTCCTTGGGAATCAGGCTGTGGGACTTAGAGTTCCAATCCTCTGATCACATGGCTGGTTCTCCTTGCAGCTAGCCCACACAGGTTATGGTGTCCAAAAGTCACCTTCATTAACATGAACTAGAAATTCCAAGTGTTTGGGGAGCTGTGAGCCAGAAACTGTAGACAAAGATCACATATAAATTACAATATCGCAGAAGGCAAGGGGTTACCCAAGTAAGTCAGGAAAGAAGGATGAGAGCCCCCAGATCTTGCCTCATGGTCTCCTGCACAATAGTTTGTACTAGAGAGGAAGGTCCCACCAGACCAGCTCCCAGAGAGTCAAGGCCTCGGGACTCTCCTGGAGGTGGCCTGCTAGAGGTGGGTCTCAGGACAGCATATATGGGTGCCAGAGGCAGAATAGAGTCCAGACAAGGCAAGACAACTAACACACACCTTCACTCACTTCATCCATCCATCCATTCATTCATTCACAAACTAACATAAAAAAAAACACAGATTTGAATCAGTTCTGATCTCAACTATTTCAAGCAGTGGGGGAAGACAGACAAACTCGTGCTTTATTTGAGGGCAACTGGGAGCCCCACATGGAAGGTTTTTGAGTAGGAAAATGGCAGGGTCTTATAGATATCAACATGATTCCCCTGAGGCCAGTGTAGGGAAAAGCTGGAAGGGAGAGACTAGAGGATAAGAGGCCAGAGAAGAAATTGTTGGGATTGTTCGGGAGTGAGACCCAAGTCTGCGTGGAGACAACAGCCTTGGTGATGGAGGAAAGAAGCCATTTCAGACACTTTCGGGAAGTGAAATTTTAAGGGAGGAATGGAGAGTGAAGGAGGGAAGTTTCTGGAGTGATTCCCAGAGCCCTGACTCTAGGAACTAACAGGGGGATGGAGGTGCTCTAGCCCAGAGCAGGACAAACGTGCAGGGCTGGGTGGGAAGAAGGTGGGAGAGAAGGCAGCAGAGTCGGTCCCACGGGTGAACATGTTCACTAAGGGGAACAGAGGGCCTGGGCGGAGCTGTGGGAACACACACACACACACACACACATCCCACACCAAGGCACATATTAATCAAATCCTTTAAATCCAAGGAAAAATGGAAAATATTCAAACCAATCAAAGAAAAGGACAAAGTACAATCAAAGATGAAAATTATGGCAGAATTCTCTTGAGAAACTGTGCAGGCCAAAGAATGTGAAGAACTGAAAGGGGAAAAATGTCAACCTAGAATTCCTTACCCAATAAACATATCTTTCCCAAGTTCATGTAAATGAACATTTTTCCAAACCAATGACAGATAAGGGAATTCATCCCCAATGTACCATTGCTACAAGAAATATACAAAAAGATTTTCAGGCAGGAGGAAAATGATACCATAGAGACACTGGAACGTGTACTAAGGAGTGAAGAGCCATTAAAGTGGTTAAGATGTGGATCAATATAAAAGAATTTATTTTTCTAATTAAAAAAATATCTCTTGAGCCAGCCTGCTGGTCTAGTGGTTAAGATTTGGTGTTGTCACTGCCACTGGCTTGGGTTTGTTTCCTGATTGTGGAACCACACCACCAGTCTGTCAGTTGTCATACTGTGGTGGCAGCTCACATAGAGAACTAAAAACTAAAGATAGAATACACAACCATGCATTGAAGCTTTAAAAACAAAATCTCTTTAAAAAGGACTGTTTTAAAAACGTAATATGGTATTTAT